GGAGCCCGGGGCAGGCGGCGCCGGCAGCGGCGGCCTGCGCGGGCCCGGCCCGGCGGCGCATCCCGGTGCTCCCGCGGGACGGGCCCTGCCGGCTGCCCGGGAAGAAAGAGACAGAGAAAGAGAGAGAAGCCTTGGAAGAGTTATTCAAGTCATCACAGGCAACAAATGCCGCCACTATCCCTTTCTCCCCCCGCCGCCCCCCCCCCCAAAAAAAAATAAAGTCACAAATAAAAATAACCTGTAAATGACCGATTTCTCCTTGATTTCTCCTGGGCCTTTGTACAGTAATTCATTTTTGCAGAAATTTCTACTGAAACTATCTCATGCATATTACAATCCTTGATTTTCTTTATTCTGGTGATTACTTTTTTTTTTTTTTTTTTTAAGCTTTTTCTTATGTTTTTACTCCATTTGAAAAATAAATTGCATTTATTTATTACTGCCTTGAGTAGTGTTGGCAGATGCCAGGAGAGAACACTACCCGTTTCAGATGTTTATAATATGAAGTATTTACATGTGTAGCAGGCCTACACATATAGTTTTTCCTTATTTTTCACTCCTTCACGGAATTATAGTTTGTGACCATTCAGAACAGAGAAGTGCAAGAGTAGAAGGGAAGGAAAGGAAACAAACCTGGATAGCCAGTCCCTACTTCAGCAAGCACCTCGTGTAATTCCATAAATTTCTCAACCTTGAGATTAGGCACACAGGTCTGGGCATCACAACATTCAGTCTAGAATCAACAGTAATGACAGAGGATGAAAAACACCTGTAGAGTGTACCACAAAATAGACCAATAAAAGATAACATCAACAGCAGAAAGCAGACGCGYGTGAAAGGCCTCATTTACAATAATTTAAGATTTTTTTTTCCCCAAAGTATTTCCAAGTGGTCTCTAGACTCTGGTCCAACCTGACTTCTGCTGATCAGCGGTGCTGCCCCAAGATCTACCCCAAAGCCAGCCAACACCCAAAGCCACAAGAATCAGCTGGTTTAGAAAGTTAACATCCAATTTTATACCTACATATTCCAACGCACAGTGTGTGTGTAATACAGTCAGTAACTAGGTTTAGGGACCATTTCCATAAAAAGTATCATCTGAAATCTGAACCTGTGCACTTTTCATTCAGTTTCTTCTACTTTTTTTTTCTTTTCTTTTTTTTTTTTCTTTCCCTAAAAATATACAATGATTTAATTTGGGTATGTAATCAGCTCTTAAACTCTTTTTCCTCTTGTTATGTCAAGGAAGCTGTGGAGAGTGGGGACACTTTCCTTGGAGTTCCCATATTGAACTTTCTGGCAAGATTTAGGTGGTCACTTTGCATGCATGCTTCTACTGTTGTTCCCAAAGATGGTATTGTACTAACACTGTACTGGAATTTCCAGAAAAAAAAAAAAAAAAAAAAAATCTTGGCAAGGCTTTTTCCTTTGGAATTAACAAATTTGAGAGTTCTGCCACAGTCAGGGCTCAGTCATTTCTAGCCAGGAGAATGTCAGTTTGGATCATGTTTAGCTCTAGCTAAAGAGATCAGCTCTTTTCCAAGGTTCACATAGACTTTCACACACCTTGTAGAGAGTCACACATGAACACAACTCAAAATGCAGTAAAAATACAAAAGTATTTTATATGTTTTGAAAAGAATTGTGGGCCATTTCCTGTTTATAAGTTGCAGTTTGCCTGTCCCATACTAGCTGATAGTCAGGCT